ACCGGGAAGAGCACCAGCTTGCTCATGTACGTCTTCAGGCGCTGGATGTTAACGCTCATTCCCTCCTCGCTCTTGTTCTTGCGGCGGCGATCCACGCGAATGCCAATCGTCGGGGCGACACGAGGGTTGACGCCGGCAGCCTTCAGCTCCTCAACCGTGAAGCCACGGCCCAGGCGCTTCTTCATGTTGTGACGCACCGTGGGGCAGTTCACCTGCGGACGCAGCGCCTTCAGCGGGCGTGGGAACGTCTTCTTCGCCTTCAGCAGACGCAGGCGGCGCCGGCGCTGCTTCTGCGCGGGCTGGTTGAGGAAAACCTTCAGGTTGCCCTTCTGCGAGGAGCACGGGTTCCAGTGCTTCCTCCGGTGCACATGGGGGATCGCGTTGTTTCCCTTCGGCATGGTCTCGACCTACTCTTTATTTTGTTTGCGTTGTTTATTTGCGCCGCCGCAGCAGGGGGTGTGGTGTTTTTTGCAAACAGACACGCAGAGAAAAAAAAACGCGAAGAGGACAAGGACAGGGTGGAGCAGTTGTGGTAAGGAAAGGGAGGCAAAAGGTGCCTGCCTTGCCTCATGGGAGCAAAGACGCGGTGAAATCAAAGCGGCCGACACAAAACAAAACACGACGACGCCTCTCTACTCTCTGCCCTTCCTCTCTCCGTACACAGGCAAGAGCGTGCGCGCGTCGCAGAAGGGAGGCACTGAAACAAAGGAAAAAAAGGGAGTGGGGGGTCTCCCAAAAGAGGCGTCACGCAGAACTCATTCGTCCCCCAAACAAGAAACATGGATTTGATAATAATAATAATAATAATAATAATAATAATAATAGTGGCACCAATAAGTGGCAGCATTTACATTTTTTTTTCGTCTTTTCTGCACCTGTGTATTTATGCCTCGGCATACATATTTGCACCGTCGAGATCGATGAGCTTTGCAGGCGACACCGACGGGAGGCTAATTGATCTTCACAGAGGTTCCCGAGCGGCTCGTTGTGGAGCCCTTCACCTTCTTCACCTCCACTGTCAGCACCGAGTCCCGCAGGCTGGCCTTCACGCTGTCCTCCTCAATGCGTGTTGGAAGCTGCACGCAGCGCTCAAACCGACCAGTGCCGCGCTCCGCCAGCACAACGTTTTTGTGTTCGTCATCGCTGAGCAGGGACTTGCGATTGCCCCCAATGCAGAGTTGCTGGCCCTCAATGTCCACAGAGACGTCGCCGCGACTCATGCCAGGCAAGTCGGCAAGAATTTTGTAGCTGTCATCCTTCTCTATGAGGTCCATCGCAGGCACCCAGGACCCACGAGCGGAAGTGCCGAAAAAGTTGGAACCGGTGGCGAACGGCATGCGATTAAGCAGGCGATCAAGGTCACGAAACGGGTCCCACATGTTGTCCGGATCTTTGCCTGCCTTGTATCTTTTCTTTAGCGCAACAAGAATTCTATCATTCGTGTGTATACGCGTGTGTGTGTGTGGGTGTGATAAAAAACACAGACGCCGTGTCGACGTAAAAAGGGCAAAGGCGGCAAAGTGCAGAAGAGAAAGATTTGTTATCCTCCTTCGGTGGGGGCGAGACGATGCATGGAAAGTCTCTGCCGGGACCGGATGAACGCAATGCAACCAATCAGTATAGCCACTGCCTCTCCACCTCCCACCCTTGCAGCCGTCAACACAGATACTGACACGGGGAAGGTGTCACACAGTGAGAGATGGAAAGAGGGAGGGAAAGAAAGAGAAAGAGGTGGCATGCCATGCAGTCACCTTTACTCATCCTGCGCCATGAAAAATCTCAGTGAGGGACAAAGCGCCTGCCATATACGTCACCGAAAGAAATATACACCGCACACACCCAGTTTTAAATTATCCTGCTTTAGTTTTTTTTTTCTCCTTACTGCCGCCTGCTCTCCTCCTCTTGCGAAGGTGTGAGAACGTGCAGAGGGAGGGCGAGGCGGGAAGTGAGGAGGGGAGGGGCAGGGCAGGGCGGCCAGCTCTCCTTCCCCAAAAATGTACAAAACAACAAAACAACAAGAAGTAAAGAAAAAAAAAAGGAGGCGTTACGGCGCGAGGCAAGGAAAGCGCGCCGTGGATGAAAAAAAGATAACGGGGGTGGAGTAGGAAGGCACGCACCCAGGTAAGAAAACGAGCCAGAAAAGGCAACAGGGTATGTGCTGCTCCAAGGTGAGCACGTTCCGCTATACATGCGTCAGACATGAAGGAAAAAAAAAAAAGGTCCTACACCAGGTTACCTCATACAAAGGAACATAAAGAAAAGGAAACCACCCACGCCCAAGAGCATCAAAGTAACAAGTACAGATCGTGGGGAAGAAGAATAATCACCATCAGTATCATCAATGACATGGTGTGGAGGTTGTCCCCCTTGTGGTGGTGCCTACACAATTTCAACTATGCTCCTTCTGGTAATTCTGCCACGCTTCTTTATTTTCGCTGCAGTGCTGCAGCGCAAAGCGGAGTGACGGAAGGAACTCCGAGAGCGCCTCCACCATAGGCACTACAATGTACATCATAAAAGATATTTGACCCTTGGGGAAGTCCACCACCTCCTTTGTGCGGTCCATGAATGGAGAGATAGGGAGTCCGCACGCCGCTTCTGCATCCCCCTGATTAAAAAACTCGCGTGAAATAAGACGTGCCCATTCAGCATAGATGTAGTTTGGCCTGGCACAGTTGGAGATGTCAGCCATTTTTACGCTTATGGATAGTGCTAAACGAACATCTTCCTTGGAGCTGTGCCAATCGTTGGTCTCAGTCATGCGTAGCTGAAATCGCTTAAAAATACGTCCATGATTTCCCATATCCGTAGCCAAAACCATCTCTATCATTGTTTCCCGCACCACCTGCATTTGCTCCCTGCTGAGCGGAGCGAACACGTTGTAGGTGGGATTTAGTATGAGTTCAAAAACGCAAGCCACATGATGGTTTTCAAGGATAGATCGATCATTGTATAGCGTGCTCAGGTAGGCATTCGTCCTGGTATGAAAGTTATTGTTCAGGCCGGGATGATCGAAGTCGTGGACGGCTCCGGCAAGCACGCCTGCTAGCACCTCCTCCTTGCTTAACTGGCACTTTTCCTTCAGGCCAGCTAACATCATGATGTAGTAATTAATGTGTGTCACATCAGCGGCATGCATGGAGTTGTGGTACGGGTTGGGGTGATACCCGGCCTGGACGCCGAGAAGGAACCGCTGCAGCACGGCGTCGTCAAGCCGGAAGTGCGCAACAAGGTCAAGTTTGTAAAGAAGCATGTAGGTTGTAAAGAACAGGGCGCTACCGCCCGTGAGAAGCTCCAGCTGAATGGTATCGTAGTCCCATCTATCCACACCAGTAAAGATGTCAAACATTTCCCTCACCAACTGATGGGATGAATCACTGAGCTGTGACCGCAGCTCGGCGCGATCTAAAACAGAGCCAATGCCGTCGAGGGTGACGCCTGAGGCAAGAGGGAACGCAGCCCGGATGCATGCCAAAATCCCCTGATCCACCTTTTCTTCAATGGGGTAATAATCTTCAGCCTGTTGAACGTGCCGGAAGTACTGCGCCCCGCCCCTCTCATAGAGTATATCGAGTGGGTGTTTATGAACTTGTCCACTACATAGCATGTAGAGTTTTCTCTCAAGGGACTTTGCTTCAAGCGACAAATTCATCGTTTTCGCAGATGTAATGGAAGCCTCTTCCCGCAGTGGCTTCACCGTTTTCAGCATTTCTTCTACTTTCGCATTGCACTGTCGTAAATGTGCCATTTTTACAGCGTAGTCGCACTCCAATCTTTCCATGGTGTTGCCTCGGGTTGTCTCCGCCGAAGCACGCCGGCGGACCTGCAGCATGCATGTCATGGGTTCAACAAAATACTCAAACGTCGCCCGCTGATCCGCGGCGGGCCCAGTACCGGAGACCATCACAAGCTCCCACGCGTAATCGTACTTCACATTCGGCTCCTTGCTGTTAACTATCTGAAAGCAGACATCCTTCGTGTTGAGCTTGGAAGATTTCACAACGGCTTTACTCTTCAACACGTCGGACGCAAGGGACTTGAAAAAATGGCCCCACGACACAGATATGCCCGCGGCCTCTTTAGACTCCAGGAGCTCCCTGTCTGTCATGGACTTGGCGTAAATCGCACCGGTGGAGTTCTGAAGGTAAGAGACGGTTAGCTTGTCCGTCCGTGCCGCACAGAACAAAATCAACACGCCAACGGATGCTGCAGTGCCTCCACCTCCGCCAATTCCCTGGCAGTCATCCATCACGACTGCCCCTGGCTCTTTTATGTACTTATACTTTCCAGGCATCCGCAGCACGGGCGTTCCCTCCAAGTTCTTCACCAAGGCACCCTCGAGCTTCAGCGGCTGACTTCCCAAGGAGGTATCCACATCTGCGGGCGGCAACCGCCTCAACTCCTTCGTTGCGCCGAAGCCCATCCAACGCCCTGCTCACCGCTCCGTCGTGTCCCCCCGTCCTTGTCTCTGTGTGTCTCTGTGTGTGTACGTATGTGTGTTTGGAGGCTTAACTGAAACCCAAGTCTGCCTACACAACTAATTCTGTCTAGTCGTATTTTCAGCCCACTCCCGCCTTGGAGCTCGAGGACGTGTACGACAAAAAAAAAAAAAAGTCAAAATAAAAAGGCAAAAATGATAAAGGCGCTTCCAATGTTGTCGCTGCTGCTGCTGCTGCCAGATTCCACACATGCCGGGTGGAGAAAAAGGAGGTGCGCTTAGCTTTTGCTGCGCTTATGATGTAAGCACACGCGGCACGTTCCTTCTTGAGTCCGAGCCTGGGTGGCCGTTTGAGTTGCTGCCTCGAGTGCATTTCCACTCGCTCCGCAGTACGTGACTGGACCGCGGCAGCAGTGGCAGCCACAATTGCACTGGCCCTGTGTGCAACGGTGGCGAACATGGGCAACGACGCGCATCTTCAAGGGGTCGCGGGGGGAGCACAGCCAGGCGGGTCGCAGTGCATTTACCTCAGGCAGCCGCCGCGGTGCCGCTGCGACAACGACAGCCCTGCAAAACACACAGACGTCCCCCTGAGTCAAACGGAGACGCCACATATCCCGCAACACCGACACCAACAACAAGAAAAATATAACAGACCGGGATAAAGACAAACACTGTTCAAAAAGCGTACATTTAAACCAACACACACGGAAATGTAACGGGGAGGTCGCTTACCAGCGACGGAGCGGGTCCAGATGCCCCGCGTGGAAACTGGCTGCTCCCTCCACGACCGACACACGAGGACTGCAGGTCGCGTACTCGGACGCCGACCGCCCAATATTCATCCCGGCATCAGCGTCTAAATAAAAGTGTGTGGATGTCGTCGTCACCGGAGAACCCACTACGGTGGCACTCGCTGCATCAGAAAGCTCAGCGCCGGCGGGTGAGGCAACACTGTCGTCAACGACCCGCCGCACCTCCACTAGCCACGCCGAGATCCGCCGTACATGCGAGGCGGCAAGACCCCCGAAGGGTCGTGCCCACTCCTCATTCGTACTCTCGAAACGTGGTGAGTGCTTATCGAAAAGAAGAGGGCTGGACCAATTTGCCGACGTCGCTGGGTCGCCCCCTCGCTTTCCGCGGCAGCAGAGAGCCACACCTGCAACAACGATCACGACGCAGGCAACGACAGCAAGGACAACCGGCAGGGCTGTGTGGCTCGCCGCCATGCAACTGCGGTCGCCTAGAAGACGTGTCACGCGCACAGGCACACACACACACACGCATTATATATGCACAAGAGTGTAAAAATACAAAAAAAAAGAGAGAACTGAGAGGGGGAAAGAAAAAAAAAAGAACAAGAGGAGGGCTCCAACAACTCAGGGAGCCTCGGAGTATTTCAGTCACTCACTCCTTCTGTCAGGCTTCTCGGGCGAAAAAATGTTGTACCTGTGTTTCCGCGCGAAGGAAGCAAAGGGAAAAACAAAACAAAAAACCAAGTAAAAAAACGCACACTCACTACCGCATAATATATGCCCAACGGTACGCGGGGGGGGGGTCGATCGCCGGCCAACGCAGACGCAAAAGAGCGTTGTCGTGTGGCCAACTGCTACAGCTTGTTCACTCAAACACCACAAGAGAAGCAATATATATACATATATACATACTCTATTCCGTAAAGATGCCAATGAAACACGGCCCAGGAGAGAGAGATAAATAGTCAGTCTCCCACCAGTACACTGGCGTTGTGTCACCCCAAACGCTCTAAACACCGACCCAAAGTGGGTAAGGAAAACGAACAAACAAAAAGAAACATGCATACCTCATTCGCTCAACGCATCTTCCGTTGTGTGTGGGTGCGCATGGAAGAAAGGGATATGTGGAAAATAGTACAAAAAATCATCGCAAAAAAAATAATAATAACAGGGGATCCTTTCTTCTTTTACCCACTCTCTGCAAATGCAAGGAGTCCACCCTCACATTGAAAAAAAAGTAGCAAAACTATGTGTGAACTAAAAACGAAAAATGCGTGAGCCCTGGCGCGTAAGCGTCGCGGGGCGCCTTGCCCCACAGGAGTCGGAGTCGTACTTAGACGCGAGTGCCAACCGTGGGGCCGCCCTTGGTGTGGCCAAGCGATTTAGCGTCGGGTTATTCAGTGGGATCGTCAGCCGCGGCGGGCGCGAAAGTGCCCGTGGGCGCAGCGAGTCGCAGCCCCGCCTACTCCTTGCCTCCTCCTCGGTAAAGCTCAGCACACGGCCGTAGTTGGGCGAGGGTGGGTGAACCGCGGTGTTGCAGGGCCCACGAGGAAGCGCCAGACTATCGAGGCGCTTGTTTGTCTGAAATTTCGTAGCGCCGGGCCGCGTAACGACCTCCTCAGAGCCACGTCGCACCACGCCCGCATCCCGCGCCGCTCTGTTCCGCCCCTGTGAAAAAACATTCCCTTCAAACGGGTGAGGCGCGACGGGAGCCGTGTCACTGTGGCACGGGCGCCCCGCCTCCGCCTGGCGCTGCCGCCGGCTCGCGGCGTCCCTGTACAGGTGCGCGAAGACGTCCTTCGTGGCCTCCACCGCACCGGTCCCACTGCCCCCGCCGAAAACCGTGTCCCTCCCCGCAGTGGTGCCCACTGCCAGCATCCCCAACTCCTCCCACACGAGTCGGTTGCGCGACGAGAAAAATATTCGTGCCTTTTGCTTCCGTCTCCTCCACTGGATAAAAAAAAAAGCGCAACAATTTTAAAACATGGGAAAAGGGAAGAATAGGCATCGTCGCAGTGCAGCACTGCAAAAAAAGCAAGGAAAAACACATATAAAAAACAAAAACAAAAGTAGTGCGGGAAAAAGAAGCAGCCACCAAAAAAAAAAAACACACATAAAATGTGCGCCCACAAACGCCGAGAAAAAGCGAGAGAGTGGCTACGGGCGTGTGCGTGCGTGTGTAGGTGAGAATAGAGAAGGATGTTCCAAACGAAAACAAGTAAAATGTACACATTGCGTGAGGTACCAGGCACCAACTCTCCCAGTCGTCTAAAAATGAGAAAAAAACAAACAAAACAAAAAGAAGGGCCTGGCACACATGACAAAAAGGAGGCCACAATGACAGCTCATTATCACCGATACAAGGAAGTAGCAACGAAGTGTGGTCCCGCTGCCCCGTCACTGCCGACGTCGCCGCCGCCATCCACAACGGTGCTGTAGATGCGATTGTAGATGCGTTCGTACACAGACAAGGCATCCCAGGGTTGCCCTTCTGGCGACTGGGAGACGTGCGAGTCATCGTCCTTCTCGGGTGACAAGAGACGCACCTGCGGGGGACGCCGCAGGCTGCGCACAGACAGGCCGTCCCGTTTGCCCAAAACGAACTCCTGCGGAGTCGTCGCCGTCGTCGTCGAACGTGGATCACTTGGCGGATGCTGCTGCAACCGCATCTCGCGCTCTCTCCTCAGGCGACGGGCTTCTTCCTGCCGCTCCAAGTATTCCTGCACGCCCCAGGGTGTTCCATCTCCCCCGTAAATGCTCTCCCCGCCACGCGAAGAATTGGTCTTTGAAGCTTCGCGCTCCGGCTTGAAAGTGCACTCCTTTACCTTATCTGCCTCCTTTCGTCGGCGCAGCTCCCGCAACTTCCATTCTTTACGTGCAAGCCATTGCCGGTTTCTCGCGGCTACGTTTTCTGGGCCCCCAACCTTGGAATCCCGCGTGTTTATGAGAGGCGCAAAGGTACACTCCACTCGTTGATGTTGTTCTTGCTCCTCCCGAAGCTTCCGCAGCTTTTCACGCCGAGACTCTTCGTAGGACTGCAAGGACTCTGCCATGGAGTCGGGAAGAGAAGCCACACGGCCACCACTAATACAACTACCAGTAAACGATAAGTCTGTCGCCGATGGATCCCTGTACTTGGGTGTGCGCCTCGGTTGGCGATACAGGCGCTCATAGGAAGTCTCAGGAAGCCGTGAGGCAATTGCCTCACTTACAAGATTGATCATGGGCTGATGACGCCGCAGCTCTTGCTCCCGCTCCCGCTCCCGCGCCTCCTCTTTCCATGCGAGGCTTTGCGCATGCTTTTGCATAAGCTCATCTTCCACATTACGGAAACGCGGTGTCGTAGCTGCATGTGGACTGATTCGTGGCGTGAAGGGCGTCGGACCTTCTGATATCCACTCTTCCTCCTTCCGCAAGCGGCGTTCTTCTTTCTTGTGACTATCCGCGTATAACCGCTCAGCCGCATCCCCGTTTCGCTGAAGTGTGGCGGCGTAGAGTGTAATTTGAGGGATGTGTTCCGTCTTTTTTCCGCGCTCGTGCTTTTCCCACCGTTTCAACTGTGCAATGCGGTCTCGCTCCATGAGTGCGTCAATCGCACTTAAACCCGATAATCCCTCTTTTTCTCGCCGGCGAGCTGCAAGCCATTCCGAGCGGGGATTGATAATCGGGGTCCCGCGAACTTCTTTTAGCTCCTCTAGTAACTTCGCCGTGCGCGCCGCCTCTCTACTCTGCTCGCGCTGGCGACTCCAATCTTTTTGAGGTTCTTCTGCCATCCTGCGAGCCCTTGGGGTCGCGTGTCGACCTTTGCGTGATATATTCGGCTGAAATGGGGCAACAGCAGCCAATTCCCTCGAGAATGCCTCCTCCCGCTGCTTCGCCTCGAGCGCCCGGCGCTCAGCTGCCTCCTTCGCCCGCTGCAGCAGGCGGTCCTCTATCCGCTGCTCTCGCCGCGGGGTGGTTCGCGCCGCCTCGTAAGTGATGTTCGGTGCCGGGCGCAGCTGACTCAGCTCCTCCTCTAACGCCCGTAGCCGCATCGCCTCCTTCTTCTCTGACATCAGTCGTCCCTTTTCAAGCAAGGCCTCGTGAATCGGTTTCCCCGGCTGCGAACCACGGCCGCTCCCCGGCGCGGCAGCGGGGGTAACGATCATGGTCGACCGCGGAGACGCGCCCGGCTCCTCCCCGCTCCGTCGAAGACACTTCGGCAGCGGCGCCTCAAGGATGCTGTTGACACGGTCTGCGAAGAGGCCCATCGAAAACGACGGCGTCCCACGCTGGTCATGGAGCCAGAGGTCCATCGCCAGGCTCCCTCTTCTCCGCCTCCTCGCCCGTGGAGTTTCAGAGCTAAAGAAGAAAAAAAAAAGCAAGGAAGACAACGAGACACACACACACAGAAAGAAAAGTGGGTACGAAGGGAGCCCAGGAACACGTCAGTATAAAAGCCACATGGAAGTGCAGTCAGCTAAATATATAGATATATATATATGTGTGTACGTTGTTGTTGTGTTTTCTTTTGTTTTATTCTTCGGTTTTTGCTCCCCGTTGGTGGAGAGAAAATAATAAGAAAAAACGCCGGAGAGCAACACGCGACCCCTGCGCCAACTCGCCATGCCTCAGAGGACCTAAAAACCAGATTCACTCTATTACAGGCTTGTTTTTTTTTGTTTGTATAGTGGTTTTGTTTTTGGTTTGTGGGGAAGTGCATTGCAGCGTAGACACTCTACGCGCGTGGCTTCCTCCTCGACAATGATTCATAGTCACCGTACGTGCAGGAACTCACGCCGCAGCGGAGGACGCTAGCCATCATCTGCTGACAGTGTTTTGCGTAGCGAACTGGGTCTTTTCTCTCCTCCTCGGTGGGGGTGTACACCGGCAGCGCCCGCACCTCCAGGTGGTTTACAAACTGCGAGCACAGACGCACAAGGAGGTCACTGAAGTTGTTTCCACCGCAGGCGCGCCCCGTCCAGCATGGATTAAAGTGTTCGTAGGGGAAGCTTACGCAAATCATCTGCAACGGCTCACCAGGCACCATGGCCCCCTTTTTAAACATGAAAAGTGCCCGTTGATTCGACGTGGTTCCCTCCGGAAAAACAAGTAGTTGGGGCGCATTGGGGTCTTTGTCCTTCGCGCGTGCGCTAATGGCAACGGCAGTCGCCTGCCGGGAGTTTGCATCGCCGCGGTCCACGACGATGGCACGCAGCGCCTCCGCGATATCTGCAAAGAATGGAGCCTTCTCACAGTTCTCCTTCCGTGTTACAAATGACGGAAAATTCCCCAGCATAAAAAGCACAAAAACCTCCATGACGCATGAGTGGTTTCCAATCAATATCTTACATTCAGACGGATTGGCAACGTGCCCAAACACCTTAACGTGGTATACCCCGGCAAAGACTGAGCCAACGTGAACACATAAGCAGGCCATAGTGCTCATTACGGTAAACCAAAGCGGATTAGCAAGACGCGTTCGACCGCGCCAACTGCAGAGGGTCATAATAAAACATGAAAGTACGGCAAAAAAAATCACGCAAAAGATGCGCAAGAACAAAAGACCAGTGACGGCAAAAAACACCAGCTTTAGTCGCTCATATGGAGTCCATGGGGTGTCGTATTTCAACGCGATCTCTGGGCCTACCTCGGGCGGTGTTGCCGTCAAGTAGGAATCGTCGAGAAGAAGCCGGCGTGGGGCTGTAAATATGAGGCAGCGCAGGTTTTCCACAATGAAGAGGGTGAACAAGAACAGTAGCTGCAGAAGAAGATACCGCCAAAACAGCTCTGTCCACGTAATATGGGAGAAGGCACGACTGATCTCCCGTGCGTGTATTCCGGCCTTCTGGACTCTCTGAAGCACGGCGAATGCAAGAGTTTGAACCTCCTCCAGCTGAATCTGACCATCTCCGTTGGAATCCACCTGATCTATCAAGCTCCGCACCGTGTCATTCATTGACCGCTCCACGATTCTGAAGTACTGGGCTGTGATCGAGCGTATGGACTCAGAGATTTGCTCCTCTGCCACGGGAGGGCCAAAGATCTGCGTGCACAGAACCAGAAAAACGAGCAGCCCCAGTGGCAAACGGAGATATTGGCTGAAAATCATCCTGCATTCGGGTTAAATTTTCACTGTGCACACAAAAAAAACACACACACACATACAGACAGCACGCAGAAGAATAAAGGAGAAAAGGGTACACACAGGCACACACCGAGAGTAAAAAAAATAAAAAATAAAAAATAAAAAACAAAAACAAAAAGAACTAGGAAAGAGAAATAAATTGGCTCTTCCGAGAGTACTACAAAACGCCCGACAGTGCATGTAACCCGTCCTTCACCGAG